AAAAATAAATAAACGTTGAAAAAAAATTAAAAAAAAAAAAAGAACTGGGAATCAGTGTGGGCTCTCTAGGAAGATGTACAGGTTACTAGTTTTTCTGTTTATTAGTTTGCCCAGTTTATCAGTTTACTGGGGTTTTGTGTGTGTGTGTGTATTCATTAAGAAACCAGGGTGCCTGGCTGGTTCAGCTGGTAGAGCATGTGACTCTTGATCTAGGGGGTTGTGAGTTTGAGTCCCATATTGGGTGTAGAGATTACTTTTAGAAAAGTAACATAAGGAGCGCCGGGGTGGCTCAGTCGGTTAAGCGTCTGACTTCGGCTCAGGTCATGATCTCACAGTTGGTGAGTTCGAGCTGACAGCTCGGAGCCTGGAGCCTGCTTCGGATTCTGTCTCTCCCTCTCTCTCGGCCCCTTCCCCGCTCGTGCTCTGTCTCTCTTTCTCTCACCAATAAATAAACATTAAAATTTAAAAAATAATAATAAAAAGAAACCTTTGCCCACCTCAAGGTCATTTATTCTAGAAGCTTTGTGCTGTTAGCTTTCACATTTTGTGGTCTATCTTGAGTTAATGTTTGTGAATGGTGTGAGGAAGGGATCAAGGTTCACTTTTTCTATAAGGATACTGGATTGCTTCCATTTCTTGAAAAGCTCTCTTTTTAGAGACAGAGTGCGTGCTCAAATGTGGGAGAAGGGGAGGGGGCAGAGGAGGCGAGAGAGAGAGAGAGAGAGAGAGAGAGGAAGAGAGAATCTGAGGCAGGCTCCCCGTTCCGTGCAGAGCCTGATGCGGGGCTAGAGCCCAGGACCCTGGGACGACCTGAGCCAAAATCAAGAGTCAGATGCTCAACTGACTGAGCCACCGAGGCACCGTGAAAAGCTCTTCTATCCTCCCACTGAACTGTGTTGTCTTCTTCATAAAAAAAACAAAAAAAAAAAAAAAAAAAAAAAAAAAAAAATCAATCAATCGATTAAGTGACTGTATATATGTGGTCTATTTCTGGGCTCTTTGTTGGCTCCCATTTGTCCGGCTTTTATGCCAGCACAAGTTTGTCATGGTAACTTTAGCTTTATGGTCAATCTTGAAATCTGGTAATCTCACTGGTCTCTTTGCCTCACTTCTGCCATCACTTCACTGGTCCACTGTCAAATTCATTCTTCAAGGCATATTTTAATAGACATTTTATAGCGTACCTTTCTTATGGCTGTGGTGTAGAATTACACACCTATGCTTTTTTTTTTTTTTTCAAGTAGGCTCTATGCCCAGCGTGGGGCTTGAACTCACAACGCTGAGAGCAAGAGTCCTCTGCTCTCCCGACTGAACCAACCAGGCGCCCCTGTTTAGTTAGGGTGTTTTTTTTTTTTTTAATTAATTCATTTATTTTTGAGAGCAAGAGAGCGGGAGAGGGGCGGAAGGAGAGAGAGAGAGAATGTTTTTTTTTTTTTAAGATTTATTATTATTATTTTTAATGTTTATTTTCGAGAGACAGAGCATGAATGGGGAGGGGCAGAGAGAGAGAAAGAGAGAGAGGGAGGGAGACACAGAGTCCGAAGCAGGCTCTAGGCTCCGAGCTGTCAGCACAGAGCCTGAAGCGGGGCTCGAACCCATGAGCTGCGAGATCACAACCTCAGTCGGCGCTTACCGACTGAACCACACAGGAGCCCCGAGAGAGGAAGAATGTTAAGCAGTCTCCACAATCAGCACAGAGCTCTATGAGGGGCTTAATCCCAGGAACCGTGAGATTATAACCTGAGCCCCCCAGGCACCCGTAGTTTTTAAGAGACTTTTGCAGATGTCCAGGCAGAGGTGATGGTGACCTGGACAGAGTAGCGACGGTGGAGGAGGGACAGAAGGTCAGATTCAGGGTATATTTTGAAGGTAAAGCTGACAGAACTTGCAGGTGGATGGGGTGTGAAAGGAGGAATCAAGACGAAGTTAAGTTTGGGTTCAAGTAAATGGACAGTGCCATTTACTGAGATCAGGGATGGGCCGGGGAAGGTTTGGGTGGTTGAAATGGAGGGGAGATGTCCTCATGGCCATTGTTGGAAATGACACCTAACCATGATGTTGTTTAATTTAGCAGCATGTGAAACACGCACCACCCCCATGCATTTAAAATGTGCATTAAAAGGGAGAATGCCAAATTTATAAACAAATTCATTTAGGATTGTTTTCAGTTTGCTTATTTATTTTGAGAGAGCGAGAGCGTGCGCGAGTGAGCGAGGGGCAGAGAAAAGGAGAGAGAGAGAGAGAGAGAGAGAGAGAGAGAGAGAGAGAATCCCAAGCAGGCTCCACCCTATCAGTGTAGAGCCTGATGCGAGTCTCGATCCCACGAACGATGAGATCATGGCATGAGCCGAGATCAACAGTTGGATGCCTAAGCAACTGAGCCACCTGGAGCCTGTTTCAGATTCTGTGTCTCCCTCTCTCTCTGCCCCTCCACTTGCACTCTGTCTCTCTCTGTCTCGCTCTCAAAAATAAATAAACATTAAATTTTTTTTAATATTATAAAAAATAAAAAATAAAGACCGAAACCCAATCCAAAAACCATCACCCATTCAAGCTGTGTAAAATCAGACCGGGGGGTGGGGGACGGGGGGTCTGGCTGGCTCATTTGGTAGAGCATTCAACTCTTGCTCTCGGGGTCATGAGTTCGAGGCCCATGCTGGGTGTGGCGCCTACTTTTTTTTTATTTTTTATTTGTATTTTTTAATGCTTACTTTTAAGAGAGAGAGAGAGAGTGTGTGTGCATAAGCAGGGGAGGGGCAGAGAGAGAGAGAGGGAGACACAGAGTCCAAAGCAGGCTCCAGGCTCTGAGCTGTCAGCACAGAGCCCGACGCGGGGCTCGAACTCCCAGACTGCGAGATCATGACCTGAGCCGAAGTTAGACGCTTAACCGACTGAGCCACCCGGGCGCCCTGAGCCTACTTGAAAATAAATAAAGTAAAGTAAAATAAAATAAATTACCGAAAAATAACAAATAAAAACTTAAAAATCAGACTGGGAATTTGAATGAGTTCATACAGTTATTGAGGCAGAGAGCTATTAGCATACTAAGAATCGTGGCACCCCATCGCATGAGTCCCAAGTCAAAAGAAGAGGGTTCCAAGAGAACCCCCTAGAGAGACCTTGAAGGCCTGCAGGATGTGAGGTAGCTATTAGAGCACAAATATTCTGGGGTACATGGGTGGATTGTTCTTGAAATTGGGTGTGGCCACTTGATTGGCTTCAGCCACTGAAATAGTGGTAAACGCTTTTTCCCTATGTACTGGTTTTTGGAGCATCTTCCTCTCTCTACATATATATTCTTTTCTTTTTTTTCAGAGAGAGAGAGAGAGAGAGAGGGTGATGCACAAGCAGGGGAGGGGCAGAGAGGGAGAGAGAGAGAGAATCCCAAGCAGGTTCCATGCTTAGGGCGGAGCCCAACGTGGGGCTCCATCCCACGACCCTGGGATCATGACCTGAGCCAAAATCAAGAGTCAGATGCTCAACTGACTGAGCCACCCAGGTGCCTCCCAGTCCTTATATTCCTTTATTACTTCCTTTTCAGACCGACTCCCTTACAAATACGGTGGCCTTGTCTGTATCGTGTGACCTCTCTGCAATTGGCCCGCGGTGAGTGCTGGGCTCAAACATCACTCTGATTGAGGCATCAGATTGTCTCTTTCCGGGCTGTGAACCTGTGAACTCCAGGCCCGAGGAGTCTCTGTTGAGCCCTTGGAGTCTAGACCTCTCTATTTCCCCCATTACCTCTTTGGTCACAGGTGGAATCCTGGGGGACGCCTACGCCGAAGGACTTGAAGTTGACCCCAGCTAAGACCGCTCATTGTTAGCACCTACGCGTGGCCTCGGAGCGAGCCTGGGCCCCCTCACAGCATGGTGGCTTCCGACACCCAGATGGCGGCCGGATGAGGGAATGTTCCAGGCGGAAGTCCAAGCTGTCCTGGGGGACCGGCCACACACGCAGGCGATCCAGACGTCGGCCGCTAGGTTCTGTCAACCCCGCCTTCGCTGGCGGGGATCCGAGCGAGGTTCCACCGCCACGAGTGTTTACGGAGGGGACAGATGGACCCGCTTCAAGTCCACTGAGCCATGCTGCGCTCAGAGTTCTCAACAGTAATCGTCCCAGGCCCTGGGAAGCCAGGGTTGCAGAAGTGGGGCCCTGGGGGTGTTGGGACGCACGCCGGCGACTGGCCAACAGGGCGGCGCTCTTTCGGAAACCGGGGGAAAGGTCCCCCCCACCCCCACCCCCACCCCGTTCCGGGCAAACTAAAAAAAAATGAGCCAGGCCAAGGACACGGCTTGGAGAGGTGGTTGTCCGCGCTATTTGAGGCGCGCTTGCCTCCTTGGCCAGGCGGCTTTGTGGAGCGAGCAGACAACCGAGTTCAAGGCTTCCCTGTTTTCCGTACGTACATTGCGTCCTTCCTCCTCGGTAAGAGCGCCCCGCTTTTCCTCCTGTCCGCCGCCACATCCTTCAGAGGAGGCTGATCAACACCCCGGCTGAAGGGGGCAAAGATTTATTGATTTGCAGCTAAGCCAATCCCAGGGTCTTATTCGCCTGGCCTTGTGTTGGGTCAGGCGGGCATGTGATACACTTCCGGCCAGTGAGCTATGGGGGGGGGGGGGGGGGGCCAGTTGCAGGAGGGCTTTGGAATGCGTCCCTCACTCTTCAAAAGGGACCGAAGAACGGACCTCTTTTTGGCTGCCTCCTGAAGAGGTTGCCTGCATGTGACAGCCGGTTATGTGGCAGCCGTTTTGGGATCATGGGGGTGGGGGGGGGTACGGGTGGGGAGCGGTCTGAGAGGAGTTGATGGCAGTTGAACAAGATGGACGGAACTGGGGTTCCCGGTGACATCGCTGAGCCGCTGCCTCGACGAACCCCAGAGATGTGCCGCCACCGCTCTTGTTGCGTGGGACACAGAAACGTGCTATTTCAAGTCGGTGGCGACTTGGGTTTCTTGCGGCCTCTCAAGCGTCCTGGTGCGAGAGGGAAGGGTCCTGGCCCACGGAACAAGACGCCCCTGGGGCCTCGGGCAGCTGGTCTCGGGGGAGCCAGCGAAGGAGGGAGGGGGGTGCCGAAGGCCGGCCACCATCAGTGGTGGAGCAGCGGGGACAGGTCTGCCGAGATCCCAATCCACTCGGGCAGGAAGGCCGCCTCGGGCTTAAAGAGTTTGAGGAACGGGGAGTCCGGGAGGGTGTAATTGGCCAGGTAGATGGTGTCCCCGCCCGCCAGGTAGGCGGCCCAGATCCCGAACGTGCCGATGGTCATGACCGTGTGGTTGCACTGCGTGAGCAGCGCGAAGTCCTTGGCCGGCGAGGTCTCCACGCCGTCGCCGGCGAACACGACGTCGCCGCGGGAGGCGTCGATGTTCTCGCGGCACCAGGCCATGCCGTTGCTGGTGACCACGAAGACCGGGGCGCGGTGGCGGGCCCGGAACCAGCCCAGGGCCCGCTCCAGGTACCCGCGGTCGGCGACCACGCCCTTCCACACGCGGGGCATGACGTGCACGTAGTCGCCGCGGCGCACGTGGACGCCCACGAAGGTGCCCGGCCGCCGCCCGCCCACCCGCAGCCGCCGCAGAAACGCCTGGGCCTCCTCCCGCACGTGGTCGTGCAGGGTGAACTCGCGCCGGATCTCGTCGCGCACGTGGTGGTAGAAGGTCCAGGAGCAGGGGTAGCCGGTGAGGCGCACGTACTCGCCCGGGATGTGGCGGTAGCGGTCCTCCATCCAGTCGTTCAGGGGGTAGTTCCGCCAGGGGATCCTGCCGGCCGCGGTGTGGTGGAGGACGGGGAGGCTGATCCGGAAGATGGGCGCCAGCGTGCTGTGCATCTCGGCCGGGATGAAGGCGGGCCGCCCGTTCATCTTGGCCAGGGCGTACAGGGTGGCGTACTCCCCCATCTGGTTCCCCAGGCGCCCTTGGGCGTTGATGGTGAACATGCCGCCCCGGGGCCGGGGCGTCGTCGAGTTTTCCGCGGGCGCCCACACCAGCGTCTCGAACTGCCAGCTGGGGCGAATCTTCGCGAGCCGCTGCTGAAGGTGAAATATGGTAGAGGCCGTGAAGACGAAGAGGAGGATATGGCCCATGGAGAAGAAGAAGGGCGCCTGGACGCTGAACATGGCTGTCGGGGAAGGGAGAGCCGGGGATGTTAGGCCAGGGGGTGACGGCCCCGGAGGGGTGCGCGCAGACACGCGGGGGGTGGGGGGAGGGTGCGTGCGGGGGGGGGGGTCACTCTGTGTGTAGATGAGCGTGAGTGCTCAGTTACGTGTATGGGGGCAGGTCTCGGGAGTGTGTTTCCATCGGATTCATTCGTTCCTGCTTATCCGGGTCGAAAGGAGTACGCCGTGTGCATTCATCCGAGTATGCATACGTTGTGCACACATACAGGCATGTGTGAATTTGTGTGCATACAAGGGACAGGTGTGCGTTGTGTTGTGTGAGTGTGTATATGTTATGTACATATAGGGTGTGTAATATGTATACAGTGAGCATATACACACACACACACACACACACACACACATAATGTAAATACACGTTGTATGTTTCAATGTGTTTATAGACTGAATATACTTCCATGGGTGTGTATATATGGGCAGGACAAGTGTATAGACCTTCTACCGACCGGGATCCGGTTTCTAGAGATGTCCATTCTTGCATGCCCTGCCTATCCGTAGTCCCTTTGAAAGGAAATTGCCCAACCCATCACAAACTCCACCACCTGACCTGCCTGCCCTCGTCGTCACCGCCAACTGAACGGAAGATAAACGCCTGGTTCCACGGTGGCTTTGCCATCTGTTGGCAAAATTGCAACTTGTAAGGCTGGCTCTGAAAGACACGTTGGCCAGGGGCCCCTGGGTGCCTCAGCGGGTTAAGCGCCTGACTCTTGATCCCAGCTCAGGTCATGATCTCACGGTTCGTGAGTTCGAGCCCCCTCATCGGGCTCTGGGCTGACAGTGTGGAGCCTACTTGGGATTTTTTCTCTGCCCCTCCCCTGCTCATAAACTCTCCCCCCCCCCCCATAAATAAATAAAAAGATAAGTTGGCCAATTCTCTCTCTTGAATATTTTTACCTGAAGGTCAGAAGGCAGTTGGCAGGTGAGTGTTTGTTTTTTCTCCCCTCACACCAACTGGGTGTTCAACAATTAAATTCCATTTTGACGTTGCCTTCCTGGACTTGGGATCCGATCCAATGGGTTTAAGAGTTCCGTCTCACTTCATATACTGATGCCAAGTCCTGAGCCATTCGTATCTCTGACTGATCAGTTTTGAACTGGGGGTGCCCACGACTCGCTCCTCAGGTTTGATAATGTGCCAAAATGGCTCACAGAACTCAGAACTCATCTGATTATAAAGGATACGAACGCATAACCGGAGAAGAAGTACATAAGGTAAGATCCGGAAGGGCCTTCTGCCGTCCCCATGGAGGTGAGGTGGGCCGCCTTCCTGGCTCTTGGGTGGGCCTGCCAAACTCAGAGCCTCTCCAAAACCCATTGGTTAGGGGTTTTATGGAAGTTTCACTATGGAGGCATGCAATGGTTCGAAGAGGGAAGTGGTTAATCAGGCTCTTGGCCTGGGACCCCCTAGAACTAAAATAAGGCCCAGACGGGACAGGGGTTTGGAGATACAGTTATGGAGCGTTAGCAAAACAGCAGGGGGTGAACTGGTTCTGACTCCCCGTTATGACTGGATGCCAGGAAGGAAAAGCAGAACAAGCCTTGCTCTGGATTATCACGGTTAATGCTTTATTGTTGGAAGATTGCCCCTAGAAGTGACTGATGGGCTTTGCCATTCTGCAGTCTAGCTGGAGCCACACCTGCTGCCTGTTGGCCACAGTGGAAGTCCAGGTTTGGTCACTGATCAACTTTGGGCTTGGAATCACGGGAATGGGGATATATGGGAGGAGTCAAAGGAACGAAGCGCCTTCTGGTCCCCCAGCTCCCCCAGAGACTTCCCTCTCCCTCCCCTGTGAATATGAGGTTCCCACCCACTCTTTTTAAAACTCTTCCTCATGAGCAGGCTTTCATCAGAGCATATCCTGGAGACTGTCTGCGAAGGTAGATTAGATACGAAAGGTTTCTGGTTGATTGGGTCCACAGTTTGTGTTCCTTGGTCAAAGTACTGAAGCAGGTGGCCATTAAGAAGAGAACACTGGGGGGAAATCAAGCAGGGTGTGACCTGGTGGAAGCTGGGAAGGTGCCAGAAGCTATGTAGATATGGTCCTTTATGGTTAATTATATATAGCTGATAAAAGTTGGCACTGGACCTAATGTAGCAATATCCCTGTTTCTTTTTTTTTTTTTTTAATTTTTTTCAACATTTATTTATTTTTGAGACAGAGAGAGACAGAGCATGAACAGGGGAGGGGCAGAGAGAGAGAGGGAGACACAGAATCTGAAACAGGCTGCAGGCTCTGAGCAGTCATCAGAGAGCCCGACGTGGGGCTCGAACTCACGGGCCGTGAGATCATGACCTTTGCTGAAGTCGGATGCTTAACCAACTGAGCCACCCAGGCACCCCATACGCATTATCTTTCTAGAAGAAAGTCAGGCTTGCCAACTAGATGCCTGGATTTGGGTTGAGCCAACTCAGGTGGGGGTCTGTCTGGGCCCCTTGGGTTACCGGATGTTGAGCCTAGCCAGAAATGGACTCCTGGATGATACAATCTCCTCTGGCCCCCTTCAACTTGAAAGGCAAGGAGCCAGGGAGGCGGGGTTTACTGACTAAGGTTCATTGAACAGCTCTGCAGATGCTCAGTCTTACTGCTCAAAAGTTCCGGATCAGGCCCCTTCCTCATTGCCACCGAGTGTAAATAAAGCCTCTGTTCCCTAAGCCCAACACGGACTAGGCTTCACACAGTGACAGAGAGGATGCATGACTCAGTGGACACACTCTGATCACAGGCTGTTGACGGCAGGCTCCCACGCTCATTAGCTGTGTGACTCTGGGAAGCAACTTCACCTTTCTGACCATTAAAACAGTACCTTTTGATCTTATCACATACAGGGGGCGCCTGGGTGGCTCAGTCAGTTAAGCATCCAACTCTTAATTTCAGCTCAGGTCACGATCTCACAGTTTTCGGGAGTTCGAGCCCCACGTCAGGCTCTGTGCGGACGGTGCAGAGCCTGCTTGGGATTCTCTCTCTGCCCCTCCCCCCTGCTCGTGCTGTTTCCACCTCTCTCAAAATAAATATGTAAACTTATTTAAACAGTTATTGAAAGATGATCACATTCAAAGCAAAGAGCCCTGCTCCGTGTGGCTGAGATGGGAACAGACCTACAAGAGGAATGAATTTCGTCCTGAGGTTGTGAATTCTGGGATGAGCTAGGGTGACCTCATACCATCAGATGTAGATACGGTGGCTTGAGCTGACCATGGGGGCTGTCCCTCTGAGGAGTGGGTGAGTGTGTGTGATTCTACTTGCCCTGGTTAATGTTTGATTTTTTTTTTTTATTTCTGGGCTAAAAAAAATTTTTTTTTAATGTTTATTTGTTTTTGAGACAGAGAGAGACAGAGCATGAGCAGGGGAGGAGCAGAGAGAGAGGGAGACACAGAATCTGAAGCAGGCTCCAGGCTCCGAGCCGTCAGCACAGAGCCCGACGCGGGGCTCAAACTTGCGGACTGTGAGATCATGACCTGAGCCGAAGTCGGACACTCAACCAACTGAGCCACCCAGGCGCCCCCATTTCTGTGGGTTTTTTTTTTTTTAGTGTTTATTTATTTTAAGAGACAGAGAGAGAATGAGAGCGAGCAGGAGAGGGGCAGAGAGAGAGAGGGTGAGAGAGAATCCCAAGCAGGCTCCACGCTGTGAGGGCAGTGCCTGACACGGGGCTCGAACCCGTGAGATCATGACCTGAGCCAAAATCAAGAGTCCCACGCTTAGTCAGTTGAGCCACCCGGGCACCCCTGATTTTTTTTTTTTTTAATGGAGTTGGGGGTATGAGATGAAGCATACGTGTGATGGCAGTCAAGGGGTAGACTGTATGAAGGTAGTGCATTTTTGCCCACTCAACCCACAGACCTTGTGTGCCATGCGTTGGGTTGTGTCTGTCTCCAAAAGGCGTATTGGAATCCTAACTCCTGATACTGCAGAATATGGACCTTACGTGGACACAGGGTCTTTACAGAAGTGACCGAGTTACAATGAGGTCATCCTAAGGTGGGCCGTAATCCAATAGCAATGGTGTCTTTATTTAAAAAAAAAAAAGAAGAAAAAAAAGAAAAACACAGCCAGTAGGGCATCATCTGACTTTGGTCCAAGGCGGCCCTTGTGTGGGCATGGGCGCGGGCTCAAGAGACGCGTCTGTATCCAGCAGAGTCTCTCCCTTGGGAATTTGAAGTTAGAAACACAGGGAGGGTGGCTGGTTGGTTGTGGGCCCCACGGCTGAAGGGCCTGTGAGAGCCCGCGTGCAGCCATGTTGAGCCATATCCAAGAGGGACCAGAGAAACCCATGAGCACAGTGAACTGGACCCTGAGATGAAAAAGGTTGAGGGAGAGATGGAAAGCATCACTGTGCCCCCCTGATGGCTCCCTGGCTCCGGTTTCGTCAAGGCCACTGGCCCTTACATTCCTGTCCAGATCCCAACCAGATTCCC